AACCAATAACAAACCACTAAACAAAAAATGGACAGATTCAAAATAAACCTCACTGCCTAAAATTTGTTGAGTAAATTGAAAATCACTGAACAAAATTTGGACAGTGCTGAACAAAATTTGGACAGTGCTCACACAATTGAACAAAAACAACAAAAGTGTTCAGTGAAACGTAAACAACTGAGCGAATTAACAATAAATAGTAAACTTTTTAAAAGTTTTTCAAAGTTTTTAACTAAAACAAAACACAAACAATTAAAAAAAAATTCAAAACAAATATGTACATTAACCTTTGACAGAAGAAAATTGAGATTTAAAACAAAACAATCACCAATTTATCCTCGACAATGACACCATTTTAATGAAGTGAATCCTATTGCTTAGATCTCATCAAATAATTTGCAATAAAAATAATGTAATACTAGGACTGACCTGGGTCGTGTCCTCGAGGAGAATTATTTTATTATGTTTAAATCTTGATTTTCAATGTCAAATGCTAGAAAATAGGTTGATTTTATGATTTTGAATGCAGAAAAGTAAATTGAAAGCAAACTATGGAACTAATTAACTGTAAAGTATTCTACTTAAAATAGTAAATGAAAGCATATAAATGAAAGCAATAAACCCAAATTATTAAAGCAATTAAAGAAAATAGTAAATGAAAAGCATTAAAGGAAAACAGTAAATCTAATCTAAGAAAGCGGTAAATGCAAAATAGTAAAGCATTGAATCAAATATACTTATACAAAGTTATAAAGTTTCTAAGAAACATTGTAAACTAAAGTTTAGAAGTAAAAACGGAAACAAAGTGACAATCAAAATGAAATGAATTTAAGAACAATGAAGAATATAGTAAATAAGGATTATCATTGATTTCTAGGATTTGTCTTGCAATCACAAAAATAAATTCAAAACAGTTCTAAATAATTACAATCCAATTGAAATTCATGATGACAACTCAATTTTCGAGTCAAGCAATCACTTAAACCTAGAAATTAAATTATGATGTAAAAGAGACATTTAATCAAATAACTTCAATTATATTAATTGTAATCGATTATAATCAGTTAGAATCGTTAAGAACCAAATCTAAATCATAGAAAACAAGTTTTAACCGGTCAATCAACAACAAAAACGAATTAGAACATGATGAACAAGTGAAAAACCAAGAACAATATGAAAACAATAAGGAAATGAAATGAAAGATGAAGTAGAAGTTGAATCAAAAAGTAAAACGAAAGAATAAAGAGAAGAAGAAACAAATATGATCAAGAATAACTTGAATTGATAAACTTTATAGCATTATTCATACAAGAAGCTCCATAAACAAATTGGAAGCTAAGCATCATTAAAAACTAGAGAACTTGATAATTGAACTAGAGAAATTTGAAAATTAACTTATGATTCAAACTTAATTTATGTTTTTCTCGCCTTCAAAGGCTTAATTATATAACAACAAAGGTAGACAAAACGATCAAGGCTCATTCGTGGCCAACAACATTATGAAAAAATAAGATTCGACGAATTCGCTCAGTTGATTTCTCAATGTGTTAAGTAGATTTTTAGTTAAATTACTTACATGAAATCTGTCATATTTCGTTTAGCGGATTGCTTGGTTTAAAAAAAGAAACTCTCTTGACTGATTTTTCTCAGTGGATTCCATTGATTTAACTTTTTATAATTTCTATAATTTATCATTCCTACAAAAATAAATAAATAAATAGTTAAAATATATTGTTTAAGCAATAAATTATATTAAGATATATTTATTTCCTTTTTAAAAAACTATATTAACTATTAATAATTAATTAAAAACATACACTATACATAAATTATATTAATAAAATTATTGATAAAATATATTTTATGTATAAACACTTATAAGTCCTGAAAAATAGTTGATAATGCACTTAATTAACTAATTTGGAAATGAAGATCAAATTGAAATTGGGTAGATCTGTCGGTTATTATTTATAACACTTTCCAATGAATATATTTGTTGGTCATTATCGACGAACTATTCAAATTCGTCGGTAATATTTACCAACAATGAAATTTCCGACAAATTCTTTTTTTTTTTGGGTAAATCGTTGGTAATATATATTTATTGAAGGATTTTTTTTTATTGACGGATTTTGTTCATCCATAAATCCATTATATTATTGTAGTGATATAATAAATAAGTGGAAAAACTCTAAAATATGTATGATACAAGGATATTCAGCAATCATTGTCTCCTCTAGGAGGTAAAAATGATAGGTAAAATTTGTCTATATTTACTATATAAGTCAAGAGAAGATGCAATACGGTCAACCCCGAGTCAAGAAGTCAAGTATTAGGATTAGAATCATTATTTATGGTGAAAATTACATGTAAAATAATTCTTATCACATATTCGAATTTAGGAACTATACCAAGTTGACTAATACGAGAACTTTGTGAATAGGAAGAAGATTATGAAGTGGATGTTTGTTAAAAAAAAATCATTAGAATTTGATATTGTTGTGAAGTTAATTTCATTTATGAATTTTGTGCTTCTTTGGATATGTGTTGAATTTTATTATTTGTGTTGTTAACTAATGTTAGTACCAGGTGCCTTATACAATGATTCTTAAAGCATTACACTTTAATGTTGCCTATATCAATAATATGTGAACCTCTATATTATCATAAGAAGCAATCTTCTCTCCCTCTATTAGATAGCTATAATTATCATTCAATCCTCTCAAGAATTACATAATTTGGCTTTATATCTTCCTTTATTTCATAGTTACAAGAGTACGTATGGCATGAACATTTTGTTAACATAATCACACATTTTATCTGGTTTACATGATTCTAATTCATCACATATAATTTCGTATAATATTGTGTAATAGAGATATAACTTGTTTGACTTCTTACTATAATTCTAAGCTTCTCAACAGATCCCTTGTAAATATCTTGATTTTAGGTCTTTCCAAATATCAATAGCTTTATTCAATCATAATATACTTTGTCTAATTGAAGGTGATATCGAGTGAATCAACCATGAAATCATCGGAACGTTTTGATGTAGCGTGAAGAGCATGATAGGTGTTGGTTGCAGCGAAGAGCCATTAACAAATTCCAGCTTATTCTTCACATCTACACCATGAATTGTAATTTGTGGGATCAAGAGGAGGAGAAACAAGAGAGATGATGAATTCTCAATTGGATGTATGTAATATAGACCGTAGGGGTTGAGCAATTCATCTTGCATTAAAAAAAAAAATTGTCACTTATTACCTCAACTTTCAATTCCTTTTCATTTTATGCTGAAAAAGAAAATTATAATTTCTTACAATGTTCTAATTGGATACTGATTTTGTTTTTGTCAAGTATAAAATGATTGTAGCTGAATGCAGGGTATGGTCAAAGCTAATAGGAGCGAGTTAGGAGAGGACTTTATGAAGAAGTTGCATAGTTTGTAAGGAAGGTAATGAAATAATATTTCCTTGACAAATTATTTTGTATGAATTAAAAAAGTGATGTCAAATATAAAGTGATAAAAAAGTATAAGTTTAAGAGAGGTAGAAGATCAACATCATTTTTAGTCAATGAATTAAATAGGGCATAATGTTTTTAGGTCAATCATCAAAGTCTCTAATCTCAATACTAATGTTAAGTCAATATATTGATTAATTCAAAAATTCAATTATTTTATAACAACGAGTGCCAATTAAAGGAAGATCTAACCCAATTATTAGTATATATTGATATTTTTCCGTAAAATAAATAGTATAAATTATATTATATATTGCTATAATTTATATAACTGTCAAATATTTTTTAGTTTTTCTTTTATAATTAATGATACATGTTTGTATATCATTATAAATTATTTATATATCATAAATATGTTGTTGATATTATATTTTTATGAGTAAATATATTTCAATTTCAAGTCTTTTAATCTTTAAATAGACGAAATTTGAATTTTCAATTCCTATTGTTTCATTTCAAAGGATAGTTAAAGGATAGTTCAATATAAAGTATCTCCCGAGTTCAATAGTATAATATTTTAAATAAATTAATTGTAGTGAATCAAAATAAAACTTTTGGACTAGGATGGTAAAAAGATCAATATGTTTTATTTTGGTTCGCTTTTAACCTATAAAAAATAGAGTGTGATAAGTTGGTATGTAATAATCAAGATAGGTTGAATACTTGTTAATATTTTTTTATATATTTTTTAAATATATCATTAATTATATAAATATTTTTTAAAGTTTTTATTTATTAGTTAATATTTTTATTTTATAAAATAAAAAAATTACTATATTTATATATTAAAATAATTAATTATAATTAATAATTTAAATTTAATTAATTAATTTTTATAATTTAAATTATAATATTACAGTATATTTATATATTTTAATAACATAACATAATAAATATAATTTTTTTAATTATAATTTTTTTATTTTTATTTTAATATATAAAGTTAATTTATTTCACTCTATTCTTGATCCACCGTGTTAACATGTCAAGTAAGATGGGTTAAAATAGACTAAAACTATCAATTTATTTTCATTTTTAAGGTAAATTGATGAATTGACGGGTCAAAATAAGTTAAAACTATCGGCTTGTCTTCATTTTTTAGATAAATTAACAATTGACTTTATCGAATCTAACTCATTTTATCGTCTTAGTTTATACAATGTTTTTTTCACTTAAATGCATACATTATATTTTTTATATAATCAAGTTCTTAAGATTATAATTAAAAAAGAAATTATATATATATAGATATAAAGTTGAATATCTGTAGTGAAATTCACGCGAATAAATAGACTATTTTTATTTTAAAATGTGAATTATAGTACGCAAATAAAAAGTGAAACTGATTTAAATTTTTAACAATGATGGAATAAAATTAAAATTAAAAAAAAATGAGACAAAATAAACTATTAGTGTCTGAATATATTTGACTTATAAAATGTGAAATCATAGTTTCAGTCCCAAATATAAACCAAAACAAATATGTATTTATGTTTACGGAAATGTGGATTTTGGTACAAAAGGAAGCACGAAGAAAAGTATGGACACCCTTAAAAGAAGCATAAAAAGTACGAGTTATGTCTCTTGTGTAGTCAGTGTAGCCCACCCTCATAGGTGGCTCCTGCCAGGTATGCGTAGCACACCACCCATCCTCCCACTCATTACTGGTTTCTGTTCTCTGTACAATCTTTATACTTTCCATGTATGCTTTCTGTTATAGGAAAATCGAATATTTCCAGTTCTGTAATTCATATTATTCTTTCATACCTCATTCCACATTTTATTTTGGGTTATAAATATAATATATTATTATGTAGTAATAGAAAGATCCATTATATTTTGTGAAATCATGTATGAATCATTAATCATTTATAAAATAAAATATTAATGGATGGATTTTATCAATATTTATACATTTTTATACTGACCAATTCGATGAACATAAGCAGATAAATAATACAAAAATGAGTTATTATCACCGCCTCATACATAGATGATTTCTAGGGTTTTAATGATAGTCTCAAACTTTAGACACCTTTCACTGATGGAGAACCTTTCCGGTCTTGATCAAAGGGAATGTTAACAAATTTTTTTATCTTTTTTCCCTTGGGGCATGATGCAAGTAGGGAGCATATATGAAAGAGAAAAGTTGAGGAGACAAAAAAAAGGTTAAAGTTTGACGTTTATTAGATATATGCATGACTTCCATTTATTTCATTTGTTTGTAGCTTGTGAAGAGTTCAATTATATGTGGTAGGAAAAAACGTGAAATGATGGGTGGGGTTGTGCTAGAGGTTCCCTTTTCTCGAGCACTTGCCAAACTAACACTGTGTTCTCTTCATTTAATTAAGTGATAACTCAGACATTAAAAAGTGGCATGTTAGGTAAACTCATCAACAAATCTATATGCTGCTTCGCATAAGAAAAACACACACACATACATATAGGGTACTTTTATTTCACTTATGCTTCAATAAGCAATTAATGAACTCAAACTAGGTCTGTCACTACTTAATTATTGTGTCACTGGATCCACTCGTGCACTTTATATAGCATGAATTATTGTTGGACCACCGAATGTGGGGTTCCTCCCATCACGGTTACATTGTCGTCATATAATCAACTTCATATATAATTGAGGATGACTTATTCATAAAAAAATTTTGGTGAGTTGCATGTATTATTAATTGTTAGGTTAAAATATACTTTTTTTTCTTTTCTTTTTTAGTTTTTCTTTTTTTTTTCTTTCTATTTTATCAAAACTTGGTTTATCATGTAATGACAAAATGAATAAATTCATAATTGTTAGGTTAAAATATACTTTTTCTTTTTCTTTTAGTTTTTATTTTTTTTTCTTTCTATTTTATCAAAATTTGGTTTTTCATGTAATGACAAAATGAATAAATTCATACGGTTTTGTCCAACTTCCAGATGGATCATAAGAAGAATTATAAATGTGATTTTATTATGTGAAAAAAAAAACAAATTGACAACTAGAGTCAATTTGTCAATATTTTTTAATATAAACATTTTTTATATGTATTTTTTTAAAAATACATCTTTGAATATGTCAATATTTTTTAATATAAAAATTTTTTATATGTATTTTTTAAAAAATACATCTTTGAATAATTTTTAAACATTAATATTTTTATTAGATATATTGAAAAAAATATTATATTTATATGTTAAAATAATTAATAATTTAAACTTAATTAATTAATATTTATAATCTAAATTATAATATAATAGTATATATCTATATTTTAATCACTTAACAAGAATGTTATGAGCTTATGTTTGATATCATAATATTAAGGTATTATTAAGGTTTTATTATTATGTCTAATATATTATATGTTTTAGAATTCTAGTTTGTTGCGGTTTATGAAATCGGTAAATTAAAAATAAGAGCGTATATAAATTATATTTGGTATCGACTTACAGAACATAATTCTCTAATAAATGATATGACTAATAGTTCTCCAATAAATGACAAAAGGATAAAAAAATTATGAGTTGAATATAAGAAATATTAGTCCGAGATATGAAGTTCAAATGTAAATTAGAATCCTACAATAAAAATAAATAAATAACATATTAATAAAAAAAACTTATTAAAAATTTATATTAAATATAATATCATATTATCGTAATTTATATTATTTATTTTCTCTACCACGAATAACAACTTTAATATTATAATGAATTCATTACCTTAAAAAAAACTATAAAAACAAAATTGTTAGAATAATCTTTAGTTTGAAATATATATATATATATATATATATATATATATATATATATATATATATATCGAACTTTTTAAGAATTTTATTATTATATCTTAAAAATTACATATAAAGTAAAAATATAATTATTAAATATTCTATTACCTTTAAAATGGACAACATCTATTTACCATTTAGAGACTATAAGATGAAAACATCAACCATTCTTCGGTACATGTTGTGTCACATATCATATCAGTAACGGTGGCGATATGGCAGCTTCCAATTGTCTCAATTGTTTAATAACCACTCTCTGTGTTGGTGAGAGTCTGGAAGAGATTGCGAAGAGAATGGTATAAACAGTTATGCGACTAGAAGAGCTAGTTGTACACAGCCCTTTCTCCCTTTCTGGTTTACATTCTTGAATGCCCCTCCAGTTTTGCAGGTATAGCTTCTTCTAGACAGTAAATGAAATCAAACTTACTTTTCAAGAAAATGAAAGGTCATGTTGATTTGTTGTATGCAATTTGATGCAGCCATGCACATATTCAAAATGTTTCAATCTCTATTCAGAAAATCCCCTCTGTTGGTAAATTTAGATGTTCAAAGAGAAATCAGTTACATAAGATAAACTCAATAGCTCTAAGAAGTTTTTCAAGAGCAACTTTTTCAAATCTTTAGCAACGTGTAAAGCTGTGACAAGTGACCTCGATTCCCTAAACAAACTTAAAAAGAATTGTAAACTTGATGTTTACTATTAGATTTTATCAAAAGTTCGAAAGTTGTTTGTTGGGAAAAATATGTTAAATCTTCCTGGTCAGATATGTGAAAATGAAATAAAAGCGGAATAATTGCACACACCAATTGATAACGGAGTTTGGCTAATAATGCCTACGTCTCCGGACTACTGCAGATCTCTTAGTAGGAGAAAAGAAAAATACACAAGTGTTTACAAAACACTCTCAAAAAACACTCACAACTCACAACCCAATTATACCCAGAAGTTAAACTAAAACTCTCTAGTTTTTTTACCTCTCGCTGGTGTCACTCTTTCTTCTCTAAGAGAAGTAATATTTTTGTGTGGGATGGAATGCTTATGCTTGTAGGAAGAAGACCAATTTATAGCAAAAATTGGTACTGTGCATTACCATAAAATATGTCTCGTGGGTACCTCATGCTTGAATCAAAAATTGGCAGCCACCCTTTTCTTCCGTGCTTTCGGTGCAAATGAGAAAGTTGGTTGTCCACTTTCTTTGACCAACAATCTCCCACTTGAGGACCGATTTCAATCTGTCCTCACACCTTGATCAATAGTAGTCTTCTCTTGTCTGTTATTCTTGTAAGCTAACTGAAGTTGAGCACAACTTCAGTTTGTCAATAGTCACCACCTTTGTTAGCATATCTGCTGGGTTTTTGCTTCCCACAATTTTCTTTAATGTTAGCATCTCATCCTCAAGTAGAGATCCGATGAAATGATAACGTATGTCGATGTGTTTGGTTCTGGAGTGAAATGCTGAATTTTTTGCCGGATGTATTGCACTCGACTATCACCGTGCAAAACACTCCTTTCTTGAATGAATCTCAACTCTGCCAACAATCCTTGAAGCCATATCAATTCTTTGCTGGCTTCATCACTGTCTACATACTCAGCCTCCGTAGTGGATAAAGCAACAATCTTCCGTATCCGCGACATCCAACTAACAGTTGTAGTTCCAACAGTGAACACATATCCGGTGGTACTTCTTCGGTGATCAACTTCACCTCCAAAGTCTGCATCTACGTAGCCCTACAATTTTAGATCTCCTTTTCTAAATACAGACATTTTTCTGTTGTGCCTCGTAGATACCTTAGAATCCATTTGACTGCTTCCCAATGAGCTTTTCCTGGATTTGACATGAATCTGCTTACAACTCCCACTGCATGGCCAATGTCCGGTCTCGTACGGACCATCGCGTACATCAAACTTCCAATGGCTGAAGCATATGGAATCTTAGCCATTAACTCTTCTTCTTCCTTCGTTTGAGGAGACTGATCCTTGGATAGACGAAAATGGCAAGCCAAAGGTGTATTGACTGGTTTGGCATTGTCCATGTTGAATCTCTCGCAAAACACGGTTGATGTACTCCGCTTGAGATAAGCTGCAAAACTCCTTTTTGCTTATCTCTTGTGATTTGCATTCCAAGAATCTTCTTTGTTGGGCCTAAGTCCTTCATGTCAAATTCTTTTGACAACTGCTTCTTTAAGTTTATGATCTCATTCATATCTCGAACCTCGCTACTAGCATATCATCAACATAAAGTAGCAAAATGATATAACTGGACTTATACCTCTTGAAGAAACAACGGTGATCGGCGTTGCACTTCGGAAACTCTCCTTGTGCATGAAGCTTTCGAACTTCTTATACCACTGTCTTGGAGCTTGTTTCGGGCCATACAGGCTCTTATTCAATCTGCACACCAAGTTCTTCTTTCCTTCGAAAAACCTTCAGCTTGGTGCATGTAGATCTCCTCATCTAAATCTCCATGAAGAAATGCGGTCTTCACATCTAATTGCTCTAGATAGAGCTCCTCACTAGCCATAATACTTAACACAGATCCCGATAGTATTGAGCTTTACAAGCTGGAGCAAAGATTTCGGTGTAGTCGACTCCTTCTTTCTGCTGAAATCCTTTGACGACCAGTCGAGCTTTGTATCTCTTAGAACCATCATGGTCTTCCTTCACTCGATACACCCATTTGTTGTGAAGTGTTTTCTTTCCCATAGGTAACTTGACTAGTTCCCATGTCCGATTTGAGATCAAAGACTTCATCTCGTCTTTCATGGCAAGCTCCCACTTGCTAGCATCCGTGGCTTGACAAGCTTCAGTATAATCTTCGGGCTCCCTCCATCGGTCAACAACATGTAGTCCATGTATCTCCTGTTAGGCACATGAGGCCGAGAAGACCTTCTCAATACAGGAGTTGGAGTAGGA